TAATATGCCATTTTTCCTTTTCATCCTCAAAACCACTCATATTCCAAGACCATTGCAGCTATTCCATGGTGCTGTCTTGTGTCTTCACAGCATTATTAGGAAAAAAGCAGACATTGTGACAAATTTAACAAGTATTTACAACCAGCTACATTAGCAACAAACAAACTACAACTCCTTATCGCAGAGCTCTTGTAGCTGAAATGCTCCATGAATAAAAATTATATTAACTACTAGAGCTTAATGCAGTCAGAGAAGGGCTGAGTGCACAGTGTTAATTTACATGAACACTGCATTTTGATAATTGCTATATCAGTGTAAAGCTAACACTACAAGTGAGGTCATTGAGCTGAGTTCTCACTTAACAGAAATACAAATATCTTGAGGGATGGAAGTGCACAGATAAGGTAACCAGGCAATCTTGCAGTTGTTTACTGAGCTGTAGCAATCGATGCAGGACTAAGGCATTTTGAACTGCTGGTCTCAGGCTGTATGAAGTTACTCCCATTCTGATTGTGTCTTGTTTTCACAGAGTCACCAAAGGGTAAAGAAAAGGGCTGATGCAGATTTAGGGAGGCAGCCCTGGAAAGACAGTGGTGCCTGGAGACAAAACCTTGACAACAAACAATCTCCATCCCACTGGTGGCATACGCCGTGAAATGGAATTGTTGCACACAAGTTATCTGGAGCAAAAGGCCCAAACACGATTGCCTCAGTTGACCACTTTTTGATAGAACGTCTTTTTCACTTCTCATCTGCACAAATTGACCTGACCCTGCTGCAGCCCATAGAATCATAGCAACTGAACAGAAGATTTATCAGTAAAATAGTTCAGTTATAGATAGTTTGTGGATAAGAGTACATTCATTTTCATTTTATTGGGTAAACAATTCTGTGTTAGTCCATCATCAAGACTACCTGAAACAAAGGAAAAAACTAGTTTAAAATTCCTTGAATGATGTCAATATTTAATTGACTTCAAGGACAAAATTAGAAAATTTGCTTGTATACTCTCAGAAAACACATTCTGGATTTCAAGGGTACATGTACTGAATCTGGGGAGGGAATACCTTATTTTCTGCCATCTGTATGAACTGGGCAACACAGAGCCCAGAGAGTACCTAAAAATACAGGCCTACCTGGGTGAGCTGTGTAAGCACAGAGGTTATCTGAAGCAAGAGGTGGTAAACCATTCATCACCTGTGTCAGAAAATACAGATTAAAAATACCCAAGCAGCTATATCAACATGGAAAATCTGCCAGCACTTCCAAGGGCAGGGATCTCATTTCCTAAGCTCTGCTCTGCTTTTCTGGGATCTGGTATCAGACCAGTAAGCAGCCTCCCAAGGGGAGGAAGTGTGATCTGCACAAATCTGAATGAGTAACTTACCAGTGTGGTCATGGAGATCGAAACCATTCCATCAATCCAAGCTGATACTGAGGGATACAACCCTTCTTTGCCTTGTAGCTTGCTTAGTGGAATGTACATGGGAAGTTTTAAATCTTCTAACAGCCTAGCTTCCCTGTTTTAAGCAAGCTTCCTGAGCAGCTGCTGGAGGGGATCACTCACAATGTTCCTTTCAGGTAAGATGGCTGCACTGGCGTAGCAAAGCATATACAGAAACACGTCTGCAACTACAAAAAGGTCTCATGAAACCCCATCTTTTAAAATTGTTATATCTTTACCAGCATATTCCCTTTTCTAGAAGGGAAAAAACACAAACCCTCACAACCTTTCAATTACATAAAACCATAACAAAGTTAT